CTCTCTCTCTCTCTCTCACACACACACACACACACACACACACACACACACATTGGAAGTCGAGCTGAGGTCTGTATTTCAGCGCTTTATGGGGATCCCTCTGCTGATCACTGGAATATTTTGGCTTCTTCTCAGGCCATTCTCACAGTACCGTTTCTTAAAGGTATATGTATGGCAACATTAATGATCGGATCTGTATGCATCTGGACCCAACTGGGATCCGTTCATTATGTCCATCATTTTTGCCTGATGGGACCAACTGATCGGATCTGTATGCATCTGGACCCAGGTGGGACCCAACATGGGTACAGAAATAAGTGAAAAAGTTGCAGTGTGAGTACGTCCTCGGATCCGTTCATCTTTCACAGGGTAGGCAGGCCGTACTACCCATCAAGTGATCCTCTCTAGCTTCCTATTATGGCACTGGTCTTGAATAAGTGAGAAATGGGTTCGGGGTAGCGTGTGGTCCCATCCCATGCAAGGAGGTCCCTGGGTAACTGTGGCCCCCCATACGACCGAGCAGGTGAAATCGGACCCCGCCATGTCTGGTTAAACCCCAAGACATGGTGGGGTCTGATCTCACCTGCTCGGTCGTATAGGCCGACCCCACCTGCAAGGGTCATTTGCGCGGACCCCACCTGCAAGAGTCATATAGGTGGACCCCCTTGCATGGGGCCGCCGCCTATATGACCAAGCACATGAGATGGGACTCCACTATGTCTGGTTGAACCTTCAAAATGATGGAATTTGAGGTATCTACGAAGGACGTGGCTCAAGTTTTGACCGTGCCTTGTGATACATGCTCGATCGAGCGATGTATATGGACCCAAGGATCCACAAAGTGATGAAAAGGATGCGAATGGACAATGCAGCTTCAGCAAAGCATCAACAAGCAATGTACATCCAGATACATACAGAAATAGCACGAAGTAGCGCAACGGAAGACTCAAAGATATGACCTGACCGGTCAGATACTGACGCGACACCCCATCATACACCACACATGTGAGAGGGAGAGGAGGGACCGTATACATAGAGGAAAGGTCCCTCCTTGAGCACGCACATGGGGAGATACCATGGATGAGGAGATGGGGGAGAGGCGAGATGAAGATGGAGAGGAGGGAGAAGATCAAGATCGCGATAGCGAAGTCCAAAAATAGTCGCCCTGCCGAATGTCCAATCAATGTCTGCCACAAAAATGTTGAATCAGGTACCGGGCCTCGTAGCTCGATGTAACCTCTGCCTGTAATCTCTCTCTCTCTCTCTCTCTCTCTCTCTCTCTCTCTCTCTCTCTCTCTCTCTCTCTCTCTCTCTCAAGAAGAAGAATAAGGTGGGAAGAGGAGGAAGGAAGAGGGAGGACGAGGAAGAAGAAGGTGAAGCCGTCCTCCTCGCTGTCCTCACCTGCAGAGATGGCCGCCGCTGGACTGTCGTCTCGGCCGTCTGGCTGTGTTGCAGGTCGCCGGCACGGAGCTCGGCTGTGGCGCCCAGGTACGTGTGGCGCTGCAGGATGGCCTCCGCCCCTCGCCCTACCTACACCTCTAATCCCTAGCGCAGCGCCGTGTCGTGCTGCTCCAGCACTGTGTCGCCCAAGAAGTGAGCTACTTGAACTGTGTCTGCCCTGGCCTGGCCCAGCTATAAGTAGCGTTGGGCCTTTGCTGGTGTGCCTCTGGTCCTGGCCTGAAACGGCCTGCCTGGGTCCCTACCGGACACCCAGGCCCTCCTTGCTGATGCAGCAAGGAGTGTCGGCTGCTGGACGAACACGAACCTGGCCCGAAAGGGCCTGAGTCGCCTGACTGCTAACAAAGAAGGCCCAAAACGTGGCCTTTGTCCGAACAGACCGAAAGTCTGTTCGGACAAACTGCAAGTCCGAACGAAGCCTGAACAAACAAAAATAGGACAGCAAATAAATAAATGAATGCTACCTCAAATCGAATCCTGTGGCCCTCAGGTCGGCCGTGGGCCTCCAAGGCGCATGTCTGAATGTCGTGCGACCTGGGGGCCCCCAGCAACTGTCGGGCACCCGAAAACAGGGCCAGTGTGCAGGCTCAGCATGTTCGCAGCCCTAAGGCTGCGGTATAGTGGGCTTCCGCGTCTGTGTCAAGGTGTTGCATTTTTGGCGGCGGGTGACCAGGATGCAAACTGGGTTCCTAGCGGGGAAAAAATTTGGGGGATTGCCAAAATTGCGGACTACCTACAGCTAGCTCTGCTAGAACCAGGACTTTTGGAAAAAGGAAGGACCGGTCCTCGGATGGAAGTGGACCCAAAACAGAAGTGGGGGGTGTTGGACCTGTCCTCGGGTAGAAGCAGACCCCAAAAAGAAGTGAGGGCATGTGAACTGCAAAAGGGCCCTCAGGCCCAGAAGTTGAGGCCCGTCTTCTCAAAACAGGGAGGCCAGGCACAACGAAACAGGCGTTTTGCAAGAGGCAACTTTGGCGATTTTCTGTGCTCGGACGAACCTGCAGGAAAATCTGAAATTTTGAAAATCCGTAGGTGAGGTTATGTTCTTTCCAGGAATAATATTATAACATTTTCAAACATTCATTTAGACTGCAAAATAATCGTCGCGCCGATTCGGCACATTTTCCATTTTTGCCACTCAGCCATGTGTGGGTCAACTAAAAAAGTACTCCAAATTCAGTGAGTTTTCCCGTTCAGAAGAATGCATGAAACCTTAAAATTGGAGTTCGTAGATTTTGTTGTGATCTTTCCAGGAACGCAATAAATTGTGAGAAATCATTCCAACTGTGAAATAGATTGCGGCCGCAATTTGACCCATGTTTCGATTTTGCCATTCAGCATCTCTCTCTCTCTCTCTCTCTCTCTCTCTCTCTCTCTCTCTCTCTCTCTCTCCCTCCCTC